GTTCCCCATGTTCACACCACAACGATTATACTTTGCTCGGAAACATCCAGGTTAGTGGAATTGCATTCTTCAGACATTTAAGCATATCTGTATAAAATTGTGTGCGTTTGCTTATTCAGTTGGTATTTAATTGACGTCAGTGATGAGGAGGATAACTGTTATATCTCAGTTATATTTATGAATTGTTGGCTGACACCTGATCACTTATTGGACTTCAAATGGTGTCGAAACGTGTGTGTTTGATGTGTTTCTCGTCCATTTGAACGGTGGTACCGTGGTCACTTCCTCCGAAGATATTGAATCAATAGAATTCGAATTGAAGTCCGTGACACGTTAATTACAGCAGGTTTATCTTTGTCAACGGGGAAACAGGTCTGATTGCATCTTCCACAGGATTCATGTTTGTGAATAACACAAGGGACTATTTGTGCCATGAAAACATTCTCTCCTTCCCTCAGAAGTATCTGAAGCACACTCTACTGCAAAAGAGACACAGTCTGACAACAACCACCTGATGACCACTCTCACATTATCACAAACCCAACGACGACAGCTCACCATGAAATCCTCCGCCACCAATTCAAATATTAACCACACACTGGATCACAACCAGCACTTGAATAAAATTTGTCTTCTTGAAGAGAAAGCGGTGTAGCAGAAAAGTGATTTATTTAATTTATTTTATTTCAAATGAAATGTTTATGTGTTCACAAAGGAAGCATATGATCTCTGTCAATGAGATATTGGTGAACACAGACACATCATACGTCGGTGGCACAGCGGTTAGGACTCTCGCCGACCATGCACATGGTCCGAGGTTCGATCCCTTGCCGACGTACACCTGATATCTATGGTCGGCCTGCGAAATTTGGGCTACCGATATCCATGCTGAAAATTCCATACTTGTACCAAAAATACGGTGTGGAATCAAGCTGTAATCAAAAAAAAAAATAAAAAAATCATCCAAGGAGACCTTTTCCTTTTCTGTCACGTTGACGTTTTTTAATTGAATCAATAAAGTCGAATGTTTCACTTAAAATTGTGTCTTGACAGCTAGTCTTTCACCTGCCCAACAATATCCACCAGCGATTTCGCGATTGAGTGATATGATGAATCTATCATAACTAATATTGGGAGGAGTGAAACGTCTTGTTTCTGCAATTTAGGTAAGCCATACATGCGCCTTCCTTACATTACCTTTTGCATAAATGCGTAATCCGTTTTTCGAGGGCAAATTTTACCAATATCTGATTGGTCTAATGATTTCTTTTTGTTTATTATAATTAGGATTGTACAGCAGCTTATGAAAATGAATCGTCGTCAAAAAGGGAAAATTTTCTTCTATGCTGTTTACGTCTTCTTTTTTCCCATCTCTCTCGAATACACATCAACAAACAATTCTGATGAACAAGTCAGAAGACTAACTAAGTAAACTGTCGGTGATACTGTCTGGTGATAACAGTTTCAGAAATAGTCTGCACAGAAAGATCTCAGTGAGCAGATGGAGCTTCAGCTGACAAAGATATTGAAGGAGGAACGAAAGTCGAAACAATTATCAGATCAATCGATTTCATCAGGTGATGGTCTGCATTGAGCGCGATGTCATTCAAAATTGGTCTACTCAATGTTTGTGAGCCCAATGCATTCCCATTTACTCCTGCATATTTTTTGAGTAATGTGTCATTGGTTGGTCGGTGGGTGGGTTTTTTCCCATAGTTTCTTATTTCTAATTCACCCGAAGTTGGACGTCCATTTGATCTTCACAAGCGGATGGCGCCCAGCTGCTGATACAGGTGTGTCACATAAGAAGCCTTGTTGGAAATGCTTTTCGCCACACACTGACCATGTCTCCGATACATATAGAAGTGGTTTTGAAAATCCGAAATTTCATCGTGTTTACTGCATAGTTCACGAGATTTCCACATTGATTTCGGAGTGATGAATGCGTGTGTGTGTCTTGACCTTCCGAGTGTTATTTTGACGTCGCCCTCCATGCCGATTGCCCGTAGTTAATAGGATGCTTCGTATACAAGTGACGGAAATAACCTCTGTCAGTTCTCTCCTGTTAATTGTTTGTTATTGGAGCTGGTTGTAGATGTTGTTGTCGCTGCTGTTTATCTTCATCGCTCGCATCTTCTCTACGTCCCTCTCTGTAGTTCTGCCTCTTCAGTTTTCGCCTGTAAGTCTTCGAGTCAGAGAGTGACAAAGCGCATAAGTATGCGCTGAAGATGTCACCTAGTAGGGTGATGAAAGCTTCACAAATCAACTATCCAGCTCAGAGAACACAACCACATCAAAATCAACCACCTGACCTACAAATCTCCTCTATCATATCTGTTTCTAATTTCACAGTATTTACAGCCTGTCTTGCTTCCTTGATCCGGATTGGCTTTTATAGTGTCATACATACATTCCTCCTGGAGGTAAAATAATACTGCTCAGTTCACTTACCCTAACCTCGCCTAGTTTATTTACTGGTTCTCTAATTTTCTAGCCAATCCTAAGCCCTGGGAAAAGAAGGAAAGATTGTACGTGCAGCGTTAGTGACCCTGACCCCACAAAATCAATTCAAGCTGCTACAGAAACTTCAAAGGACAAGGAAAATTTATAAGACGAACTTATTACTCAGTGGAAGTGAAGAGGCGAAAAGACGCCCAGGAGTGATGAAGGCCTCCTTCCTGAAGCCAGTCAGCCGAACGATGTGTCTTCTCTCGATGAAAGAAAACAAAAACAAGCACTGAGACGTGAATACAATGCACAATGTACGAAACTGGAAAGACTTCCGAGGTTGGCAAAGAAATCAGAATTGCTAAGAATCTGGAATAACAGATGAAATGGATGTGGACTGTCGAAATTTTGCTAACTGGAGAGTCAGTAATCTATTCCGGTCTGGTCACCTGCTCAGACCACATGAACACACTGAGGCAGCAGTGAGTGGCTACGACAATGTCGCCAAGACCAGTCAAAGCTCTAATGCAGTGTGAATCAATTTCAACATCCAGGACGATAACGACAGGGTTCAACTCAAAAGAAAGGAAGGAAGGAAGGGAGATTACAATTATCCAGTTTCACGCACAGTTCTACAAACAACTCGAAATAAGAGAAGAAGGAAGATTTCTTTGGACAACTAACTGCAAACAGCAGTGGACAACATCTCAAATGATGACATCAAAATCCTTATGGGTGATATGAATGTCAGCCGAACTGGGGGCAGACAATACAGGAGGAGAACTCATCATGGGTCGAGAGGCTCTCACTCAAAGAAATGAATGAGAACGGAGAATTATTCGTAGACTTCTGCGCTTTCAGTGATGCAGTGATCAGAGTCAGTGTGTATAAGCACAAGGATATACTACACAAGACGACGTGAATTCCATATGACAGATTCATCAGAAATCAAAATAGACTTTATCTCAATGTTTCTCAAAAAAGTCGAGACACAGCCAGCCTCACACGATTATCTGTTTCAAGGAACATGAAGGTCAAGTTAAAAATTCTTTAAAGATACTGAAGATAGACCATAACTCATGCTCAACACTCAGAAACGGAAAGGTGCAACTACTAAAGATACCAGCCTACCTGTAGCTGTTAGATCGGATAAAAGTCGGGGACACTACGTGGCACCACGAAGAAAATTTGTGTGGGGAAGACACATTGGAACTTTTTGAAGGTGATGTTCAAGGAACGTGTACAAGTTTTGTAGGAAGTAGGAAGAGACAAGACAAGGAATGGCTCTAAACGGACACACCTACCTAGAAGACAATAGAAAAAGATGACTCAATGCAAAGATGGACATCAGAAGCAGAAGCTGAGTTCAATGTACACAGCACTGAATAAAAGGAGAGGTGAAGAAGAGTGCTAGGAAAGACAAATGACAATTTTAAGACACACTGGAAACCAAAGCAGAATAGGTGGTGTGTAAAAAGGACCTCAGAACGTAATATCAGATAAGTTAGATAATCACTGGAAAACCTGGGAGTACTGGATAGCTGTCTCGCCCTAGTTTGGGACTCTTCAGCAGTACGCATCCACCGTGATTTGAACCCAGAACCTTCTGGTTACAAAGCGAGGAAAGAAAGGAGTGCGTCGACCGGGGATCGAACCCCGGACCATGTGCGTAGTCGGCGAGCGTCCTAACCGCTATACCACCGACGCAGCTCGAAGGTCCCGGGTTCGAATCATGGCGGGTGCGTACTAATGAAGAATCCCAAACTAGGACGAAACAGTTGTCCATTACTTCCAGGTTTTCCAATGGATCTCTAACTGATGTCAGCTCATGATGAAATCCTGTAACCAATCAAAACCCTAAAAACCAACACTTGAATAAAATCAGGTCTCTGATTCAGGAAGAGATCAGCAACGGTTAAACCTATAACAGATGGTCAGGGGAATTCACTTACAAAATAGGAGACACAAATAAAACAATGATGGACTGACCATCTCAAAGGGCTCTTGAATCGACCATCACCTGCAACTCGCCCAGAAATACAATCACAACAATACCCACAAAACTGCCAGTGCACACCAATCTACCTACAGACGAAAGCGGAAATCTCGAATTCAGTCAACCAACTGAAGACCGGAAAGGCGCAATACAAGACGGAATTACTCTCTCCCCACTGAGGGAACACTGAAAATGGACCCACACACTGCAGCAGATATGCTCATACCATTCAGGGCAAAAGTGTGGGAGGAAGGAAAGGTGCCTCCTACTGACTGGAAGAAAGGCCGGCTACCTTGTCAATCTATCAAAGACTCACGCCTCAATCTGCAAGAACTGGCGTAGAGTAGTAGCCTTCTCCACACCAAGAAAGGCACTAAGTCGTATCATTCTGAAGACATGTAAAGAAGAGGAAGCTTGATTATTGTTTATTTTATTTTTTTTAATTTAACAAGCTTCTTAATATTTTCTTAGTCGATTTGAAAATTTTTCAGCCTCTTTTTTTCTTAAACATTTTCATCTCAGTAGTGTTCCATGAGTTTTCGCATTTTTTTGGACTTTACTGGAGATTGTTCAAGCAGGTATTGAGAAACTGAGTGAGTTGAAATACCTGAAATATGAGAAAATGTTATACACACAATGAATGTATTCATCACTTCATTATATCACTTTAAAAGTGGTGTCATTTCATTAATTTAAACATTCATCACACCCAGGATATTTCAGAAGAAGATGGACAACAATTTCAGCGAAAAAATTGTTTGCAATAAATTTATTTTAGGGCTGTTGTACAGTAAGTAGTTCATATTTCCCTTACACCACCTTGAAATTTATACAGCTTTATTTTGCAATTATAAATACACAACAACTATGTCGCTTAACTGCCTACTGACATTGCATCTCCTATTCTTATTATTTCCTTTAATTCCTAGAGGAACATACAGTTTCAGCTGCACGTCTATATTCCGTTTTGTTCACTTGGCTGGCTCCTAGTCTGCCCACAAGCTTTCATCTCCTCTTCACATGACCCCCTCCACTTCATGTCACGCTCACACTGACGACCAACTCTCCGATTCCCCTTCGGTCGGGTTCCACTCCTGTCTAATGATGTCACTTGATGGCTTATTTTCTCAGAGGATGGCCAGCCAATCCACCTCCATTTCTTCCTGCTTATCTGTTACACAATCGGTTCCTGATGTGTTGGTTCGCTGATTGCCAGAGATCCCTCCCTGTTGCTAATCTTTTCTGGCCAACCATCTGATCTTGAGTGGTATTGAGCAAACACAGCAAGCTGTTGATGAAAGCCTGTAGTAGTTGTTTGAGGTGCTCTTCATGACGCGCTGGCCAAGTCTCTTATCTTTATGGTGAGTAGCACTGACTGACTTCACATTGAGGTTGAAAATCCGGATCTTATTTGCATTTTCAAGCTGGGTAGAGCTGTTCATCCCCTCCACACAGAGATGAGGGAAATGAAAGCTTGTCCTGCTTTCCTGATCCTCGCTGCTTTGATGCAATCCTCGTCAGTTCCATCCGCATGTAGTTGAAACGATGCTTCCCAGGAAGGAAGGAAGAAAGGTAGGTAGGTGTAGGAGGTTGTTTCTTACAGGTTTCTCCCATTTATGCATGCTGATTGTTGTCTGTTGTTGTTGGTGGTGTTGGCCAGGAATCTTCTTCGCCTACCTCTGTTTTCTCTATTTTTACTTAGAGTCGTAACTTTGATGCTACTTCTACCAGCTTGTTTCTTTCCATTTGTATATCTTCCAGTTTGTGGGAAACCAGACATATATAATCGGCGAAGTCCAGATCCTCCAAGTTGTTCTTTCTTGTGGGTCCATTTTATGCCAGTATCCTCGCTGTCCGCTGACTGTCACATTATCCAATCTACTGCAATCAGGAAAATCATTGGCGATAATAAGCAGCCTTGTCTTATTCCTGTCTTCAACTTTTAGATTTCCCCGTCAATTAACTGGAGCGAAGTGCTCGATCTCATGTTGATATATAGGCTCTTTTTCCAGACGCTTCAATGATGTCTGGTCATGTGCTTTGAAGTCAGTTGTTGGATGGTGACTAGCAGTATTGGGATCCAGGATTAGGCACATTTCGTCCTATTCGGCACTCGTCAGTTAACTGGATGTATTCGCATTCCCCACTGAGTGATGGTGTTGCCACTGAGGCCTGGAACCAGTGCCGATAGTTTCAAACATCAGCCAAAGCCTTATCCACCAGACCATTTGAGCCGTTTAAATACATTTCAATGACAGTGAAGCAATTGCTGATATGATTTTAATTCCCTTTCATTAGTTATGATTATACTGTGACATTCAAAAATATTTATACATATAACTGTCGAAAACGAGGGAGAAGTTATCGAAAACAGTTGTTTACTAAAATTATTCTCATACTGAATTTCCACTTAGTTTCATTCAAAATTTAAAACAAGCAATAAAGGTTAATAAAGCAGGATTTAATGAATTCATCAAATTTCGGTAGAACTCGTCAGCTGAATACTCTACATACACGGATATATATACTTTTGAAATTACATTGGGAGATATAAGACTGATAAGTAAACAAACTACATTGAATTAATCATGCAGAGAGACAGGTGCGAATATTTTCCAGGTCATGTTCAAATAGATAAGGGGAGAGAGAGTATGAGAGATCAAAATTAAGATAAATTGCATTACGCTTCAATTACATCACTTAGATAAACAATTAGTCATTAGGGAATATAAGGAGAATTGCAAACAGACTAATATCAATAGTAATAGTTATAATAACAGTTTTAATAGTGTTGAAGTGAGTTAAGATAATCTTACTGATAAAGCATAGTTTTAGATGAATCAAGAATAATAATAATGGTAATAATAATAACAATAATAGTAAGAAGAAGAGGTAGAATAATAACAAGTAGAGAATAAAACGTATTACCATGGTAGATTAAGAGTTACGACCATCTCCTTTTGTATACAGAGAGCTGGTTTATAAATTCGAATTGCACAAGCCTCTGCAATTGCAAGCATCTTCTTGTTTCTTTGTTTGCTGACAATGGTAAATGACTTGACTGCGTCGATATCATGTCCGTAATCTACAAGATGTTTTGTTATTGAGGATTTTGGCACTTTGAACTCAGCTGTTTTCAACCATTTTGGCAAATGCTCCATCATGCGAGTAGACAATCGCCTTTCCGTACGACCTATGTATTTGCTGCCACAAACACACTCAAATTGATATATGCAGTTTGAAGTGTCGAGGATTGGCGACTGGTCTTTCCCAGATTGTTGAAGCACTCGCTTGGTGGTGTTAAGGATAACAAGTTTTGCAGCATAATAAGTTCTCTTGATGGCTTTGTCGAGTCTTCGTTTCACTACTTCTTGTACGTCATCTCCTTTGAACGGTAAATTGATATAAACAGGTTTCTTTGGAACTGTTTGAATTGTTTTGCGGGGGTAGTTTCTTTGGAGTATTTATTAATGAACTTCTCAGGATATCCATTCTTAGATAAAATATCCTTCAGAGATTTTATTTCCTGTTCAATAGTACTGTCAGAACAAATTTTCCGTGCTCTATTGAACAGTGTTCTGACTAGGTTCTTTTTGTACTGGATTGGGACAAAGCTCTTGAAATGCATGTACTGTCCTGTCCATGAAGACTTTCTAAATATAGATCTTTCGATTGTGCCATCATTCATTTTGGCTAGAAAAACGTCTAGGAATTTCATAGTATCGTTTTCCTCGTGTTCTACTGTGAAATTGAGATTTGGATGGCATGAATTGAATTTTATCAACATGTCTTCCGCTTTTGATCTGCTTTCACAGACAATAAAAATGTCATCAACATATCTTAGGTATACATTTGTTTCTTGTATGTGCTGCTGCAAAGCACCGGTTTCTAGGCGTGACAAGAATAAGTCGGCGAAAAGTGGTCCCAAAGGGCTTCCCATTGCGACACCATCAACTTGACGGAACAGACGCCCGTTGAATTGGAATTGGACATTTTTAGTACATAAAAGTAGTAATTTCCTCAATTCCGATGTTGGAATGGGTATGTCTTCAGCTTCTTTACATATGAAGTCGATAGTCTCAACAACTGGCACATTTGTGAAAAGGGAGGTAACATCGAAAGAGACCAAATGCTTATCGGATACATTGAAATCTTTAATTTGATTGACAAATTGAAATGAATCAGAGACTATATGTGTTCCGAAACGTTTCAACAATGGCTGCAACAGTTCACATAACCACTGTGCTAGTCTGTGGTACGGCGAGTTTATCATAGAGAGTATGGGTCTTAACGGCGCTCCTGGTTTGTGTATTTTTACGCGTCCGTATAGTTTTGGGATTTGTGACCCAATCGGTTTGATATTTCTATATGTGTTTTCGTCTATGTATTTATTTTTGAAGAGTTGTCGTAGATGCTGCACAATTTTCCTTTCGGTTGATAACGTTTGGTCTTTTGCATGGTTATCCAATTTGAATTTAGATTCATCGGCGAGAATTTGATGCATTTTTTCGAGATAATCTATCTTGTTCATTAGCACTACACTTTGTCCTTTATCAGCTTGTAGGATAACAAGATTTTTGTCTTTTCGAAGCTTGTTTAAAGATCGCCAGTGTTCTTTGGTGATATGCGACTTTTGATTGGTCGGCATGACTCGAAATTGATGAGCGATATCAACCATCTTTGCTTTCAACCAGCTTTCGCTGTCACTGGACGTGGCATGTAGCCCCATAAGTTGATCATAAAGATTTTCGAATTGGCATTCGATATCGATTTGCTTTATCTTCTTCATGGGAACACAGAATTTGAATCCCAATGACAGAATTTCTGCTTGTTCTTTTGATAGGGAAACATCAGATAAATTATGAACATAATTAGATATATCCACTGGGAAAATTTCATTTGGCGGTTCCGGATAAAGTGACTTCTTCAGTTTCTTTACTTCTGATTCTTTTGTCTTTTTTGATGTGGCATGCAGATATTTAGTGAATTTAATATAACATACGAAGTTTAAGTCATTTTGTACATTGATCAGTTTGCTTGACAATAGGCATAAATTACTGATTTCATCTGTTTCAGAAGACAAATGTGATTCAGCAAGACGGTAAAGATTCGCTCGTGTAGGTCTCAGATGATCTTTACGCAAGGATTTGTAAAATGTTCGAGGATAAATATTATTCTGGATACATTCTTTCAAAAAATCTCGTCGTGCAGAGTGTTTAGCAATCCTGCACTTCAATTTCACTAGATCATTTAGTGCATTGATAGTGCTTTTTGGGAGACGCTTCTTCAAGAATTGAAAACATTTATTTCCCGATACGAATTTAAAACAAGCAATAAAGGTTAATAAAGCAGGATTTAATGAATTCATCAAATTTCGGTAGAACTCGTGCTTTATTAACCTGCTTTATTAACCTTTATTGCTTGTTTTCAATTCGTATCGGGAAATAAATGTTTTCAATTCTTGAAGAAGCGTCTCCCAAAAAGCACTATCAATGCACTAAATGATCTAGTGAAATTGAAGTGCAGGATTGCTAAACACTCTGCACGACGAGATTTTTTGAAAGAATGTATCCAGAATAATATTTATCCTCGAACATTTTACAAATC